TATATATATATATATATATATATATATATATATATATATTAGGCAGCACTGTTTTCAAGATTGATAATTATAAGAAATGTTTCTTGGACAGCAATTTAGCATATTAAAATCAGAATCAGAAATATCACAAATCATGTGACACTGACTACTGAAAAAAAAATCAACAAGAATAAATTACATTTTAATTTATACTACAATTTAAATTAAAATAATAATAATAATTTTTTTTTTTTTAAGTGGCACTTTCAAGTATCACTTCAGTGTCCACACACTTTTTGAACCTTCCCCAGCTTCAATAAGTGGATATCTCTGTGGTTTTATCTGTGAGCTGAGTTTCAGACAGCACAAAAGAGCGTGGAGCACTGAAGGACTTGGGAAAGGCAGATGGGTAGTTGAATACACATACAGCGACGCAGGCAGGAAGAACAAGGGCGTTTGTGCTGACTCCTGCACTTGCTGACTGCCCCATCTGTTGAGCGGGGTCCCCAGAGTGAAGAGGGGCAGCGCGGGTCCGTGTGACACATCTGCCCCTTGCTTGGGGCTCTTAAATAGAGACACAGACGGTACTGAGGCATCCTGCCAGAGCAAAACTCCCCAGCCCAGGTGTGCTTCTAATAGAGGCCACAGAAAGCCAACCTCTACCTCTGTGTCCGCTTTTGTCTGTCTATGTGGCTTTGTGTCTCTATCCTTGTCTCACTTTCTATCTGATGTTCTTTGAGAGTGTACCTTTTCTCATTTTCTCTTGCGTTCTCATGCTGTTCACACCCTCAGTATTAAACTCATCCAGTGTGAAGAGCGAGGACTCATTTCTGTTCTCCACTGGGGGTCCTTTACGATGCTCCGTGAGGTGCGAGGAGAAGGCCACCGCTTCACCATTACCTGATAACTGACGTTAGCATAAACTCACAAAACACGAAACCAGAGAGGCCTTATTGAAAATGATAACACCCTCAAGCGTGTCCTTCACGGGCGCAGCGTGGGGTTAAAGACTCACGGCAGTGCTTTGCATTTGAAAGTGTCCTCCACGATCAGAGGCCCACATTGTCTTTAGGTTGACATGGATATTCATAGAGTAAACAAGCACGTTGCAAATACACTGAAATAATTATTCATGAGTATATGTAGTTTACATGATTAGTAATATGAAATTTTAAACTGGACTAGTAACACAAAATAATACAAAATCCTCTGATTAAAGCAGTCCTCTGATTACAATTAGTACCTTCGATAGTGAGTTTCACTCATTCCACCTTTATTCAATTAATTCTTAAATAAACTAGCTGTTAAGAAGGTCTTGCTCCATCTTTGATTAATAAGCGAGAGCCCGGCTGTGGAATTGTTGTAACACATTACAATTCTAGCATTTATACCATAGACTGTAGGTTATACCACCCGTAGGTTTCTGAAGAGCGTTTTTGAAGCTCAAAGTGGGAGTCGGCCGTCGCCATCTTGGCAGCGTGTCACCGCGCGTCACTTCCGGATAATCGAAAATGGGCAAAGAGGCGGGAGCTGGTTGCTGAAACCACACCCACCAAGCTCGACAGTGGTGACAGCAGCGGCAATCCACCTGTCACTCAAGTGACCACGCCCTTAATTATGCAGAATTTAAACGGATGAGTTATAAAAAAACTCACCCCCTCACAGTTGTCACGAAGGGCAAAATTAGCTATATAGACCAAAACCACTTTTTGTACCAGGCTGTAAAAAAATTTTTTTCTGCTGTAAAGTTGGGCATTTTAACATGGGGAGTCTATGAGACTTACTCCCTTTTGGAGCCAGCCTCTAGCAGTTTAAGTCCCTTCCGTGTTGGTTTCACGAGAGAGACTGGAAGGTTGCCGCTTGATTTATACATATCTATAATTAAATAAATAAATACCCTTTGCAAATGAACTCTGGGAAATGTAAGATACATCTAAGCCCATGGAGTAGAAAATAAATTAAATGGTAGCTGTCACTATTTTTTTGTGGTAACTGCATTATTTCAAAATTGTGACTGTGTATCATAATGCCACTTTGGTAACACTTGAAGCTTTTATGCATAGTGCATTACAAAGGTAATTATAATGTACACTGTAATGTTTTATATCTTTTCATAAATAACTGTGCTGAACTTAAAATGCATTATAATATTTGCAGATTCCTGGTTGTTTCTCATGTGTTTTAATGTACAATTATTCATGAGATCTTATGATGCATTACAAAGCATAATTAATGCATTAAAATACTTTTACTGTTACCTTACGTTTTTATTATATTTTTCTCCATCCCTGTGGCTGAAATGTACTTCCATAATAATTAGAGTCCTTTTAAGAAATACTCAGGTTAAAGCCAGCTGGGTAGCTTAGATGCATAAAGCACAAGGTGAAACGTTGCTTTTAATAATTTCGATCTTAACAATGTAACTGGTGAGTTCTAGTCACAAATCGCCCAGTATGAGTTAGGTAGCATTTCTACATTTCTCCTCCGGCACATTCAATAATGAGCAGCATCTAGATAAAATATGCACCCACTCACACACGCAAACTAATGATGAATATCCTACTTAATCTCTATGTGGAATTCAATTATCTGCTTATTGCTATCACCGAATCAGTGTTTGTACAGATATAAGTGCTCATTATAATGCCTAAATGAGTCTCTCAATCGATTATAAAAAGAGATCCAAAAGAGAGACTTAACAGATGGAAGATGTACATCACAGTCAATAAAAAGCTCACTGAAAGGCTACAGACAAAAAAAAAGAAAGAATGAGGTATTTTACCGATGAAGTAGGACAGCAGAATGGCCAGCAGGGCGGCGGCAGCGATCGCCGACAGGGCGGCACATTTCCAGCTGCAGTACTTGGACGGCTTCTTCAGCTTGAAGGCGCTTCTGGAAAAGGTGTTTCTGGGTAGGAGCCGTGGTGGAGGAGAATATACTGTGCCGGACGTCAGGGGGTAACCCGGAGATGAACTGCTAAAGAGAGGCGTGGTCCCTGAAGAGGTCTTAAACAGGAAATGCCTGCAGAAAAGAGAACGATAAATAGCGTTTTTAGTATTTCAAGCACACGTGGAAGGTCACATCCATCCCTGGTATCAAATCTCTTTTCTGCATCCCCCCTTTCTAAGCTCTGAGGTACATGTGTGTTCATGTGTGTTGTGTTGACCGCTGAGTGTCGCAGGTGCTTGTTGGGGGTGAAGGACAGTGAATGCAGCGCCTCAGTGTGGAGCAGTGGACATATGGCACATGAACACGCGGCACCGCAGGCCTGTCCCGGCCCACCGAGGGACACTTACACAACAAAGTCACTCAATAATTCAAAAGCCTCCGCTCCTTTCAGGTACAACAAACACATACTGTACAGAGACACACACTTCACTGAGACCATCCGCAGCGGGTTTGATTTTCTGGTACGGGGTCATTTCCGTCGAGCTGATGAAAAGAAAAAATCTAGACAGGAGGATATTGCTGTGTATTTCACAGTGAGATTAATCATTACAGCCTCATAAACGGACTCTTGGCGCAGACAAACAGGACGTGATTTGTTCATATCCAGCCTCAGCACAGAGACTACCGTGAGACAGAACACACTCAGAGATAATCAGCGTTAAGCTTCCAAAAACATCATAAATGCAGTTCATAGACCACAGAGCCATGTAACAACAGTCTGGCAGGATTCCACAGAATGTTTTTCACTACGGTGTGCAATTCTGAAAGATCTAACAAATGCCTCATGAATCACTTTTACCCCTGACTAGATTTAAAACAGAATTGTTTCCAAAACACTCCTGCTACCCTTGTCTCCCATTGTTTGGACAAACAGCTGATTCTGCTCTAAGTTGACGCAAATAGAAGTTTGTTCGTTCGTTCTTTCTTCTTTCGGTCTCTTTTATTTATTTATCAGTAGAAGTCTATTATTTCATGAGCTCAGTTTTTTTCATAGAATCTCATGTCATTATGGGTGCTCAGGGCTGCCACAGATAGTACTGTATAATAAAGGTGTAACAGTTTTTGCTTGTTGTACTTCCATGTGTTGTACATTTTTAAAAAATGCTACAAATTTGACATTTTTTTAATTAAAATAATATTTTTGTAGACTAAAATTGCCATTTTAGTGTAGTTGTGCCAATTTAGTTGTTTTATTAAAGTCTGTTTTGCCATATCAGCTTTACAGGCTATAGATTCAACATTTAATAAATACATACAATACAATAAATACAAACATTAAATAAAATCCATCATAGAGAATATATATATATATATAATTCTGTATATATATAAATATAAAATACAATTTAATTGTACTTGTGATTAAAATGTTTTTTATGAAATGTCTTATAAATGTCTTGATAAAAATCGTTGTCTCTTGACATTAAAAGATTAATGTTGCATTAGAGTAAAACTGACTAAAATTAATAATGACATTACAAAATATTTGCTAAATTTAAAATGTATTTGTCAAAAACTCTGACAACAACAAAAATTTGTGACAAAATTAATGTATGTGACACTTAGGTAGCAGGTTAAACAATTAAATGTATTTTAAACAGACAGTTCGCCCCAAATTAAGCACCATTATGTTGTTCAGAATGTATTTTATCTGTGAAAAATAAAAATATATAAAGAGCAGACACTGTTCTTACAATGAATGCATACAATAAACACAAAAAAGTCAAAAATCCTCTTAAAAGCACCAAACAGTTTGTATGACTTGTCAACTATATAGAAAGTCTACTGAAGCCACACAACAACATGGAAAAAATAAGTAGATCAAAATAATTAAATACATTAAAAAAGGTATTTTAATAAAAACGTCGAATATGCTTAAGTGAGAATGAGAGCTGAATCAGAAGTCAGTTTTCTCTTTGCGGTGCACAGCAGGAAGAAAGTAAGTCAGACAGGAGGTTGAGTAAATGATGACAGGATTAATATTTATTGATATTTAACACCGGAAAAAAATGACACACTTTACCTTTAAGAAATGACATCACTCGGAAAGTAAGTGTCAGAGCGGTGTCACCTCTCTGGTGTCACACTGGTATTCTCCAGTCTCTCTTCTGTGCTGCTCTCATTAGTGGTGATATTCGCTAACATAGCCTTAATGTTACAATAGATTATTGATGAAACTTGTACAATTTAGCATTGTACTTAAATAATTTAGCAGTTAATTACTGCTCTGAGCCCCATGCTGGTGTTTCCTGCCCTGCAAATGAGGACTTTAGTCTCACACAAAGCCCGGTCGCGCCAGCAGCACGGATGCAGTTTAAAAAAGAGATGTAGTGTAAAATGGATTAGCTGCGGTCACGTTGCTGTTGTGATTAGCGTAGGGTCGTGGGGTTTGTCATGTTTTATCAGGTCCCGTTCTCTATTAAGACCAAATCGAGAGGCTGAGAGCTTTTCTGCGGTCAGGTATCTGCCTTAGAGGCTTGTCTCTGGACCGGCCCCCACAGCCTACCCCCCCAGATACATCCGTCCCTCATACCTCTAACCTACAAGGGAAACGGCCACAGGCTGCTCACTCCTGTGATCTTTAATAGCCTCTTTCCACAAGATGCCTTCCAATATCTCTGGACACGTTCCAGCGGCGGATTCCATTTCCAGAGCTGATTTTTGTTCCGTCGTGCTCCAGCCCTTCCATTACCCCCATCTCTTATCGGCCTATCACCATACATCCCACACTCACCCATGGATGGACAGACTGAACCCCCCTGGAATCTGGCCTGATGGGACTACTGGGGTCAGTGCCTAACGAACCCATCACGAGGGATTTTTTTAAGTTTTAACCTACAGTGCACATACAGTGCACTCTTAAATTCTGTATATTTACACAAGAGAACATGACCAGATACTACAACAGAATATTGACAGTATTACTAAATGATTTTAGCAAATGGCTGCAATATAACAAAGAGTGAAAAATTTAAGGGGGTCTGAATACTTTCCGTACCCACTGTATTACACATTATAGAGAAAACTAGCAGCATTGTGTCGAAAATGTAAGTTCTAAACAAAGAAATAGAAAGAGTGTTATGGTAGTATGCTTTTCCTAATTCACTAAGGCACTAGATTCATTCCTGGATATACCAGTGTTTAAAAAAAATTGGTTGAATGAATAATTCAAATGCTAACTAATAACTACAGTCACTTTTTGGTTTGTGAATAAGTGTTTTTGAATGAATCATTTACGTAAATGATTCAAAAACTACCTCATAGTGGCAGTCACTCGTTTTGTTCCTGAATGAATCAGCAGGCTTAAAGGAACACTCAGTTAGACAATCAATGATTTCATGACTCACTCATAAAGATAGTGGGTATATTTAGAATAGCATACTAGCAGAATATGCTTACTATTTCAGCCAATGTTTTCATTTAAGATACATATTATTAAATGACTCATTCAAAGACAGTCACTTGTTTCCTTCCTAAGGAATCAGTGTTTTTGAAGAAATCACTTGCATATATGGGTCAATTACTTCACTCATAAGCACAGTCATGTGTCGCCACCTACTGGTGAAATGAGTAAAAATCTCCACCACTAATATACAGATTTTATACAAAAATACACAAACACAGACAAATGGAGTTAAACAAACAGTGAAAAATACCAGTATTGGTAGATTGTATACCAGCACTCACAGCAAAGACACTCCTTTAGTTCTCACATTTAATTTGTCCTATTAAGAATATCTGATGCCTTAAAAAAAACACACACACACTTCTCTAAGGCATGACTCCATAACCACCACATCGGTCTATCGCCACAAGCCTATAGGGAAAATAAACCTCAGAAGAAATACAAAAGAAAAAGATAGAGGTCTGTCCTTCTCAAAAGCCACTAAGGGAGAGACGGAGAGAGTGAGAGCAGGTTGATAAACGTAATGAATGGTAATAAATGATAATAATGCAGCAGTTTAATGAATGGAGGCCACATGGAGGATTCCACACGGTGGCTTTACATAACAAAGCTGTTTTTCCCCAGCTGAGGGTGACATCTACACTGCCTTAGGCCTCACTGACTCACACACGCATGTATAACACATACACACAGTAGTGCACAAACACATGCAGAGCTTGAATAATTGTGTGCATGAACCAGGAAGCTCGGTCAACAGCGGAAAAAAGCGGAATCTCGCATTTCTTCGTATTCACATTCGCTCTCTGTAATATTCTTTCCACCCTTCTCGCTTCCCCAATTGATGGTGTGATGCCACAGGCGATACCTCCACCTCCAGCTTCATGCCTTTATCTGAACCCGCGTCGTCTCCCTTCGCATCTTCCTGTCAGGTGCGACCGTGCACAAACTGTAAAGGGAAGCTAGCAGGTTACAGGTAGGCAGTAATCAGGCCTGCAATGAGCAGCAGAGTGACAGGAAGGCAGCCGAAGTGCACGTCTAAAAATACAGCTTCGCTTCCTGCGGGCCGCCTCCGTGTCATTCCGCCACTGTCTGAAGTCAGGCGACTCGCAAGGTCAAATCAGTCACTTAAATGCCAAATCATTTTTACCCACACAGAAGGTTGCAGCCACTAATTTGCCAGCTGACAGGGGTGACGGAGGGAAATTAATTAAGGTCATTTTGGAAGCGCGTGCGCTCGAGTTGAAGTGTAACTCATAGCTATTGGCTGAATCTCTATTGAAAGCTCATTTCATCTCGGGATGGTAAGGGGAAGCCGAATGCGGATGGAGTGGCTTAATTGTGAAATGAAATTAAAATGCTTGATTTACACGGCATGCTTAATTGACAGTGATTTATGTCGAGCATTGTTTGGGAGGGAAGCTGGGGGAAGAGTTGAAGCCAACTGAGATGATGGGAGACGTGAGAGAGAGAGAGAGAGAGAGAGAGAAATGAGGCCAGACCAGGGGGCGGACAGGAAATAAAGAGAGGCCAGATTGAGCCCAAAAAAGGAGTGCTGACAGGGTGGGGTTATGCAGAGGACAGTCTGCAGATAATGGCAGTTTTGCACTTTTCAAAGTCCATGGGGACTGAGAAACCAGGGACATAATGATCTGAGGGAGGAACATGA